TAGCTCATTTGTTTCAAGTTTAAAGGATTACAAATTACAAATTAAACAAAACTACAACTTCTTAACATGAACTTATCGATTGGAAAATTCAAGCATTTGCTTATGAACATGCTTTAGGCAATACTAAATTTTACCTTTGTATCAAATTTTCCATTGAATTTATATTTGAGAAGGAATGGAAATGCAGAGAACATATAATTTTTGGCATATATATTAATGAGCTGAAAAAGACACAAGAGCTTTTGCTAAGACATGTAGTACAAAACAATTAAAATCAATTAAACAAAATTAAAAGTACAAAACAAAAATCATCATCATCATCCTCATAGAGTGAAACCTACTAATAAAAGAAAAGAGGGTACAACCAATCCCCATTGATTCCAAATCCTTATATGATCACTTTTTTATTTTGTATCGTAAGTAGAGTATAGTTAGAGTATGTAGAATAGGTTGATATTTGAACTCATAATTTTTTTGTCATCCTTGACTCTAATATCATGTCAAAGGACTAACTTTCTCAACTTACGTTGATGGGTGTTATAGTTATATGATTGGTAATTACTACACAATTTATCAATATACTTTGTTTTATGTACTTCTTTATTGATTGGCATAACCATATAAGCACATACATCCACCACTTTTAAGACAATCAAAACTAATTAATCAAACACATATATTAAGGAGATTGTTAGGCATAGATTTCAAATCGGATGATACTAGATGAATCATCTAAGACAAGTAGCATATAAAGAAGCTTAAATAAGAGTGTTTAATATAATCATAAACAAGTTTAACCGAGTTTTATCTCAAAATCACTCACATATTAATGTAAGACAAACTTACATGCATGTGATTTTATTCTTAAAAACCTCATCACATCTAAACAGCTTGCATTAAATTCGGATCTTGCAATCTATATGTAGGATCACAGTCCTAATTAATACACCATGTTATATAAAATCTTCACTGTTTTATTCACTTCAATCAAGCACGCATAATTAAGCTTAAGATTCGTAAGATATTATAAGATATTAGATGTAACAAAAATTAACATAATTCTAACCGGTAAAGGGATACTATATAATGTAACTATATCTACTAATGTTTTTCCAACCATAACTATCTCAACTCGATCTATAAGAGAGACAAAATGGGTGAAAGAGGAAGTTCATTGTTGGCGAAACTCGTCTTGATCCTTAGTTTTGCAGTTGTAGCTCTTGGAAGTAATACCGTTACTAATCTAAAAGCCTTCTATTTGGTGCAGCAGGTACTTTAACTTGTTTTCATTTCGATTTTTACCAAAGTTTTTAATAGAGTTCGATTTAGTAGGATCATTCATCTAATCTAAAAATAATAAATGTAGTCACTATACGATTTTGCTTTATTTTCTTGCAGTGGTTAGGATCATACTGTAATCAAGCTGGAACAAAATGTTGCTACCCTCCATCAGGAAAACCTAGTCCCGATTTTACTATTGATGGGCTATGGCCTTACTTTGGTGATGGAAATTTCGCATACAATTGTGGCAACGACAACTATGATGTTGGTCGGGTATGATCTCATTTTACTCAATTTATTTTAATAATTTTTTTTTTTGTAATTTACATTATTAAAACATTGCTTCAACCTTCATCAATGACATTTTGTTTGTTAAAAATTTTTATTCACATACATAAGATCGAACTTATTAGATTTATCTTGATACACACTAATAAATTATTGTTATTGTGATTAAGTATACATTTTCATAAAAAGATAACTAAATATATTAATGATATAAGATGTGTATGTAGTGATAATAGTAAAACACATATTAATTTTGCGACATTAAAATTGAAGGATAGGAAATATTTTTCGTGCACAACCTTTTGTAAGACCATATCTTATGTGATAAGATTGGTTTTAGTGGTGGATATTGTTTTTGATACATCGCTACAATTTAAATTTAAATTGACTTTAAGTTATTACTGCTCATTTTGATCTTTTTGTTTAAATTTATAGTAGTGTTATAATTTTACTCTTTGATACTAGCTAAATATTTCCGTATAATCCATTTTATAAACGTGCGTTTATATAAGTTGAAGAGACCAAGACTTTGATCCATGTCACTAACTAATACAGTACTCCATATATGCAGATAAAATTCTTGCAAGACGAGCTACGAAAATCGTGGCCATCCTTCACATGCCCACAAATCGGAAGGAAGTTTTGGGTACATGAATGGAACAAGCACGGAACATGCACTAAATCAATTTTAGGTGAGATCCCATACTTTGAAGCCGCTTTGAACCTTAAGAACAAGGCCAACATCTACCAAGCCCTAGCAAAAGCCGGGATTACACCAGGCAACAAGTTTTACTCTCTAGATGTGATCAAGAAGGTTTTAGCTCGATCTATTGGGTTTAATCCATGGGTTAGGTGTAACAAAAATGCTCAAGGAAATGACCAGATTTGGCAAGTCACATTTTGCGCCGATATAACCGGGAAGAACCTCATCGAATGCCCTTACATTCCGTCCGGAGTTGACGATTGTAAATCTCAAATCCAGTACCCCATCTATTACCAATAGTTTTGTACTAAGATATATACTAGTAGATTATTTATTGTGCTCCTTTACTTGTATTTCTTGCTTTATGATTACGTTTTTCCTTGCACCTTTTAAATAAACAACTATTATCATATTTGCTGATCTTATTGTACGCAATCTAGTATTGTGAATATTTATTTTGGTCAATGTAGTGACATAATGATATCTTCTTTGTTAGTCAATTTCTTTGATCCAATAATCCTTTTAGTTAGGTGACTTAGGTCTACTTTATTGTAGCATCATATAGTAGTCAATGATATATATTTGTACATTTCACAATGCCTTCAATATAGAGCCAGGGCTAAAAATGTCAATTATGATAATGGCTTCGCATAAAGTGTAAATTGGGAAACTAAGGGTGGGTGATGGAGCGGGGAAGGTGATATCTAGGTAGGGGGTGGGACGGGGCAGGGATGGTTTTAGAATTAGGCTCGTCGGTTCGGGGATGAGGAAGCCAAATCTCACCTGTCCCACCCCGTTGACATTCCTATTCCCTAGGCCTTAGGCTCGTCAGGTCGAGGATGGGGAAGCCAAATCTCGCCTGTTGATAAACGAGCCTGGGCCACACCCGTCACAACTGTCCACTTTATACGACTAAGGAGGTTCCACCTCAAAACCATATGGCAATGAGGGGAGTAGCCCCTTAGCCTTATAAAGTGGACACGACTTTCTCTTTTCTTCAATGTGGGATACACATCCCAATATTTCTCTTCACTTTTATATTCTTTCAATGTGTGACAACACTTTCACTTACATGTGAGTTTTTTCTCATGGGCTCAACACCTGTCCACCCGTTGACATCCCTATTCCCTAGGCCCTATTATCCCTTTCCCTTCCCATTCTCTTCTCCCTTGTTTTCCTTGTACCCAAGCAAAATTTTACGGATCGGAGTAAACACACATTATTTTTTATTCTCAAAATATTTTGTGACTAGGGATTTCAATGTGCGGTGTTCATGGTATGATGACTAGCCTTTTTGAGAAGAATAATTACTGATGGCCTCTATGCCTTATGTCTGTTTGCAAGATATTTAATAAGGGTGTGCAAAAATAAAAAAAATTATGCCCATTAACTGGTATAACCAACAAATTTTATAGGTTAATTAACCAACCCTTTAAAATTAAACGGTTATGGTTAACCTAACCGTTAATAATAGTTGTTTATGGTTATGGTTATAATTTTGAGTAAACAGTTAACTGTTAAGATAATATTTTTTTTTTAATTTACTTTAGCGTGTGGTTTGTAACTTTGTATCCAACTAATTAGAACTTATTATTATTTATCGGTTAATTGGAACTTATTATATATTGTTTATTGGTTTGTATCCAATAACTAATTGGAACTTATTATTGTTTATCGGTTAATTGGAACTTATTATATATTGTTTATTGGTTTGTATCCAATAACTAATTGAATTGGAACTTATTTTATTGCTTTGTATCCAACTAAACGAAACTTATTATTGTTTATAGAGTAATTAACACTTGATGTATTAAGGTTGGAATTATTAGAAAAGCAAAAAAGTATTAACTTAAAATTTAATTAATGATTAACGGACAATCGATAACCATACCATTAATATAATTAACTACGTATAAGTGAAAATTATTTAACATTAAAACTTGAAAAAAATTCATCAGATGAACCCAACAAGTAGATACCTTATGCTTAAATTATTATCTTTCATATTAAATGCCCACATAATATCATATTATACTAACGATTAAATGATTTGATAATAATATTGATATCAAGACTCTAATATCCACCACTTTTAAGATTTTAGATGAAATTAATTAATTAAGTGACTAAACTAGCTGACACACATATCGAACCAAATTGCTGAATCTTAATTCTTGATTCCAAAATCAAGATGGTTGAGCATCAACCTCAAATTGTTTGTGATAGAGTATATAATATATTCATGTGCCTCAACCATCAGCGTAAGCTTTTGGTTGAGTTGGTCCACTAACATGGTATCAGAGCCAGCGTGACACAAAGGTCACGGGTTTGAATCTCATCCGTCACTCCTTCAAAGTGGAATTAATTTTTTGGTTGAGATGGTCCTCTAACAGCTTGATATTAGATAAATTATGCATCTAATAATGACATATACATTTAGCTCATATATGAGTGTTTAATCTAATCAAATTCAACCGACTTTTATCTAAACATCACTCACATATTAATGATATGATATGTAAGACAAAATTACATGTGAGATTATTCTTAATAATTAACATCTTTACTTCTAACAACTTGCTTGCATTAAATTCGGATCTTGCTATTCATTTGTATAATCAACCCAGATCACAGTTACACTAAATACTCCATGTTATAGTATCGTAACTGATTTACACTTTTCAATCAGGCAAACATAATAAGCTAATATATAGCCTAAGATATTATAAGATAGTTTAAAACGCGTGAAGGAATACTATATAATTGAACTATATTCATTGACATATTTCAAAACATTGGCATCTCAACCTAGTAAGGGTTCAAAGAGAACAATGGGCAAAACAGGAAGCTCATTGTTGGCGAAACTCGTCTTGATCCTTAGTTTTGCAGTTGTAGCTCTTGGAAGTAATACCGTTACTAACCTAAAAGCCTTCTATTTGGTGCAGCAGGTACTTAACTTGTTTTCATTTTGATTTTAAAATAGTTTAAATTATCTTCTTTTCGCGACTTGTTAGGGTTTGGTCTAGTTGGATCATTCATCGAACCTAAAAGTAATAAATGTAGTAAATATATATGATTTTTGTTTAATTTGTTGCAGTGGTTAGGTTCATACTGTAATCAAGCAGGAACAAAATGTTGCTATCCTGAATGGGGGAAACCTAGTCCAGATTTTACTATTGATGGGCTATGGCCTTACTCTGGTGATGGAAACTTTGCCTACAATTGTGGTGACGACAACTATGATGTTGGTCGGGTATGATAATCTTACATTTTCTTCATTTTTTTCAATAATAACTTTTAAAAATTTCAATTTCAACGCAATTTTTTTAACCACGGTTAATGACCATTTAAACGTTCGGACAAACATAATAATTATGTGAGGTCTTGTTAAAGAACCCAAATTCAACACAAATATTAAGTTGATGGTTAAGGCACAATATATATTTCGTACTTTATCATGCCCACTCAAATAAGAGTCTGGTAAGCTTGAAATATAGATGTTACATGGCCCCCACCATACCCAATGCTTAATACGGAGTATTTCACTTTAAAGGGGTGATGGTTAAGATTCAAACTCGTGACATTCTTGACACCATAACTTAGATACTAAGTTAGAGAGACATTCACTATGACATTCTTGACACCATATCATACACCACTCACATAAGAGTCTGTTAAGCTTGAAATATAGATGATTTAAACATGGCCCTTATTTTGACAAGTTGAAGAATAAAGCCTTAATCCATATTACCAACTAATACAATATTACATTATTGCAATGTAGATAAAATTCATGCAGGATGAGCTACGAAAATCATGGCCATCTTTCACATGCCCACAAATCGGAAGGAAGTTTTGGGTGCATGAATGGAACAAACACGGAACATGCACAAAATCAGTCTTAGGTGAGATCCCTTATTTTGAAGCCGCTTTGAACCTCAAGAAGCAAGCCAACATCTACCAAGCCCTAGCAAAAGCCGGTATTACACCGGGCAACAAGTTTTACTCTCTTAAGGACATCAAGAGGGCTCTAGCTCGATCCATCGGGTTTCACCCATGGGTTAGGTGTAATCACAATGCTCAAGGACATAGCCAAATTTGGCAAGTCACATTTTGTGCAGACAAAAGTGGGAAGCATCTTATTGAATGCCCTTACATTCCTTCGGGACGTAACGATTGTGCATCTCATATCCAGTTACCTCCCTACTATTAATAGTATAGTACGTACCATTGTACCAAGCTAAGCTAGGTTATTTGTTGAGCTTCCTCGATTGCATTATTATAACTCTTTGATTATGTTTTGTGTTGCACTTTTGAATAAACAACAACTATCATAATTTGTTGATCATTATTGTACTCAATCCGGTATTGTGAATAATTCAATCCGGTCAATTTATGTGATATTGTACGTCTTTGCTAGTCAATTTAATCATGTGATGGTCTTTATTAGTCTATTTAATTATGTGATATTCATAATTGATACTGTCTTCACTAGTCAATTTTATGTGATTCAAATGGTCATTTAATTTAGTTTTATTTTATCGTTAATTCTTATTATAATAGAACAAACTATTGCATCAATCCGGACTGACCAAATGTTTCGTCAGTCCAACGGGTTTTTGCTTTATACCAATGATCGCTCCTATTGACGGCGTTGTTATTAGCGGTGGTATCGTTGACGACGGCGAGAAACTCTTTGATTGTTGATTATATTTGTCCATGATTTATTCTTGAATTGGCTTGAAAATTGCTTGAGATTCTCGGATATTTCAAAAAATGCCCAAAAAAATCGATTTGGGGCTTTCTTGTGTGATGTATAATTGTTGAAATCAGTGGTGGATGTAGAATATTTAGTGTGGAGGGGCACCAAATACAAAACCAAAAAAATATGCTAGTATGAAGGCTTGAACCTAAGATTTTTTGCAAAAAAAAAAAAAAATCAATGCATTACCACTATGAAAAGCTAAGTTAATGATATTTATTACATTAAAATTGTATTTAACCTATAAATTTATACCTTTAACTAAATAAAAAAATAAAAAATATAAAATTTTGGGGGTGCCGGTGCCACCTAGGACCCTTGATAGGTCCGCCCCTGGTTGAAATTAATTGTCCTGTGTGATTGTATGTTGAATTGTGAGCGTTTTGATAACAAATGCATGTATTTTGGTTGAGAAATGAGCATATTAGCTTATACCCATAAGCTTAGTACGGGACCTTCAAAAGTGGTTATGCCATTGTTGACCTTCAATGGTAGGAAGACAATTATTGTATTTATTTATTTTGAAAATAAAGATTACTAGATATGAAATATCTATAATTTTATTTTATTCCTTCATTGTCCAGATGATATCATCTAAAGGTTGGATGAAATCATGTAATGTGTCTACAATATTATCATTATGATGGATGATATCTCCTCTATTGTTTTTTTATATCCTTTATTGTTTTTATGATACGAGTATCTTCTATGAGTTAGATGATATCTCTATTGTTTTTATGATATCTGTCATAAGTTGGATGATATGCTCTATTGGTTCTATGATATAAGCCAGATGATGTCATGGATAGACGGGATGATATCTTATATTGGCTACATGATATCATTTATAATTGTGTTTATGATATCATGTATTGGCTATATGATATAATTTATAATTGTGTCTATAATATCTTTTATTGGCTAGATGATATCTCTATTGCTTATATGATATCATTTATAATTGTGTCAATGCAATATTGGATATATGATATAATTTATAATTGTGTCTGTGATATCATCTATAAGTTGGACAATATCCTCTATTGGCTATATAATGATATCCTCTAACAAACTATAGTATCTCTACCAAAGATAAATTGTGCATATATTCTCTATCAAATACTACATATCCTCTATCAAAAACTAGATATCCTGATAAAATACAACATATTATATTACTTGACACACGAATTGTAATACCTTCTCTTATAATAAGTACATCCATGCCAGTGATGTCACAATTCCTTTAACATAAACTAACGGCAACGCCTACTTTTTTTTTTTGACAAGAAGAAGAATATTATCATTAATAAATAGCCATACGACATCTACAACAATAATAAAGATTTGTAAACCACATATCTAGAGAAAATAACATAACTTTTACAATCAAAATCATAACTAATTTGCATATCGAGCATAGATTACATTCCACCGCTTCAAACTTGACGCGAGTAGTGATTTTCGATGTCTGTGCATCTTTCCAAGTAGAGACCTTCGCAATTTGCGCTGATATTTTGATCGTAGAGTTGGTGACGAACCCTAAACCCATATGAATCCAAATCACCTTCTCAATTATTATTAAAACCCTAGAAATGAATGTAGTGTGATGAAAAGAGAGATCGAGAAAAATGAATTTAATGATCATGTGATAGTATGAGAATGAGATTACTTACAATAGAAAGTTGAAACGTTGAATAAAAAAATTCATGTGCAGTTGATACAAAATTAATTTTAATGTGCACTTGGTGCACACTTAAAGACGGTCTTAGTTGACATATGCCAAAATGGGCTGGACTTCCATACGGATCAGACCGTGGACTGGAATTGATGGGCTTCTTTGGATAGGTCCAAATGGCTAAGTTATTGTGCACACAAACAAAGCCAATATACACTAATTACACAACCAAACAAATATTTGATAGTGAATGAAACACTAAACTTGTGAAGCACAAGTTACAACTTCTACTTAGAAAAAAATAAATATCTATGATTTCATACATGGAAAAGTTATTTAATCTCATGAGATCATAAAATAATTAATGCAAAGTACCCAAAAAAAGGATTTGCATTTATTAATGGGAGATATTCTTTTTAATGTTGTAAACTTCTAACGACAATATTATATGGTGGTTACCTACCCATTACTTCGTTCGTTCTAAGCTTAACCTTTTTTTAAAAACAAAAAATTAAATTATCCTTACTCTAAGAAAAAATCAATGGCGAAATGCGGGGGCTTACTATTGATGATCATGCTTGTGCTAAGTTTAGCAGTTCTAACTCTCGGCGGTCACACTAGCAATGATTTTAGCGAATTTTACTTTATTCAGCAGGTGAGTTTTTAAAATTTTCTCACATTAATTTTGTATGGACTTACATTAAATGGGTCGACTAAAAGTATAGAATGAAAATGATGGGTGATATAGTAATTAGAGCGAACTTTTTTTTTTTTTTTTGTTTGTTGGTTTGGTGTTTAGAAAGCCACAGGAGCAAGTAGATGAAAATTTATCAAGCACTAACCACTTGAGTTATCCCTCTCTCTCAATATTAAACTTAATTGTTGTGAACAAGTTTCACATAATTAAGATAAATTGTTTCCTTTATTTTTTGCAATAGAATTCTAATTATGGATTGTAAGTCTATCTAATTCTGTGCTCGTGATTTTTTTTTCTCCATAAAAATACAGTGGTTACCATCATACTGTAACCAAAAAGGAACAAGCTGTTGCTACCCACCAACTGAAGTGCATGTAACAGATTTTACAATTGCTGGGCTTTGGCCTTGTCAAAACGATGGAAGCGCCCTTGAAAACTGCCCTGGTGCAACTTTTGACGAGACTGTGGTACGTATTGATTTTACTAAGAAATTAAAATCGAGATTCCCAATAAAATTTAAGTTATAGATGAAATTCAAAAAAGTAAACCATAATAGTAATGATACTATGTTAAACTACTAAGTATTGCTCATTTATTTGTCGTCATTTTTTTTTTTCATTAGTTGATGACTGCATCAATTTTTATAATCGGTCATTCTTTAATGTTCTATATGCGAAGGATGTTTAATACGTAGTATGTAAATATTTATGTAGCATATAGAAATAGAGAAACAAAGTGAAACTCGTATCATGAAGAGAAAAATAGATCGAAAATCAACAGTCAGATATAATAACGTTATAAGTATAAATTCATAACGCATTTTGCTCGATAAACATAAAACTGAAAAAACTTTGTTATTATTTCAGATTAAGCCCATAGAGGACATGCTACAAAAGGAATGGCCATCATTTACATGCCCACAAATTGGAAAGAAATTTTGGCAACATGAATGGAACAAGCACGGAACATGCGCAACATCAGTCCTAGACGAAATGGCATATTTTCATGTCACTCTAAACCTGAATAACAAGATCAACATCATCCAAGATCTCGCGAAAGCAGGGATCCAACCCAATAACCAAAACTATTCGCTTGAAAGTATAAACGCGGCCATCTCTCAAGCCACCGGATTTCACCCTACAGTTTTTTGTAACCATGACGCTCAAGGGAATAATCAGATTTGGCAAGTTGTTCATTGTGTTGATAAAACTGGGACGAATTTTATCAACTGTTCCAACAATCCTAAGGGGCTAGGAAATTGTGATTCTACCATTATATTTCCTTCTGCTTAATTAATTCTCATGTTCGTTAGTATTTTATACCAATAAATCAATATTTTGATTGATAAAAATATGAGGTTTTTGCTTAATCAACATTTTTTTTCTTTTATTCGGGCTAGACGAAAACATGCATGATCCATATAGATGATTAACAAAAAAATTTAAAGACTTTAGGAATTGAATATTGATTTCAATGATGCCCCATTTTCTCATGGTGACATGACATTTTTGTAAATAAACCAACTTTATTCAACTTTATTCAACTGTGAAGCCCACAATAATGAAAAAGTTGTTGATTTATTCACGAAAATGCCCCATGAAAAACAGGGAATTTCCCATTAATTTCATAGTTAATTAATGGTGTTAGAAATCCTAACTAATTTAGATGATTTTGATTCAATTCCTTATAAATTGATCTCAAAAGGTTTTCCTCGTGAATATCATTTTTTGTGACAAACATGTGAAGGGAAACATGTTCCATATATTTTGCTTGCAAACGGGTCATGGAATTGAACTACATTTATGAGGATGCTATTTATTTGATTGGATCAATTTGAAAGAATTTTTATGCTAGTTTGAAACTTAAAACCAACACGATGAACATGATATATGAAAGAAGTACACGTTCGCGATGTGGACAACAAACATAACTGTTGAAACCCATTGCAGTCTACTTATAAGTGTCCCACATTGAGAAAGATGAGAGTTAGTTCGACTTTTTAAGATAGTGGAGTTACTCTAACTATTGCTAATTGGTTTTAATATGCAAGATCCTAAGCCTTACTTGTAGACTAAACTCTCCGCCTTATTATTTGATTGCCCAAACCTATTTCATATTATTTCGAAATTTAGATCCATGACTTGAAAAGTTTGTCCAAACAGTTGTGGAATTTTCATACCTAGTATGCGTTACGCGCCTAAAATGACCATCGACTTCATTTTTATGTATATGTCATGGTCATCGATATCCAAAATAAAGATCCGCGACCACAACAAGCCTCTTTCCATCAGGACTATGGATGGTTCACATGCCCGGCTAAGTCATGGCCTCGACTTCCTACAACTCTCACAGGATTCACACACACATTTGGATCGTCGGATTTCATTATATACACGGCGAAGTAGCCTCTATGTGTCTAGACCATGGTCTTTATCGTCTGAAGCTTTATTGCGGTTGGATGCAAATACAATCCACTCTCCGCTTGGAGACCATTCACAGTGAGTATCGATCCAAGGACTATTTGTAAGCCTTGTGATTGTACCTCCTTCTCCATTCTCTAAAGAGTTTAAATCTTCTATTAGGTATAGATTTTTATATCTTTCGTCCTTTCCTCGGTCTCTAGTTGATCGAAATACTAGTTTTGTACTCCCTCTATTTCATAATGTTAGTCGCATATGAAATTAATCACATAAAATAAGAAAATAAATATATTTGGAATCTAACATTAAAGTAAAATATAATTCATAATTAACTTACCTTATTTGGCTTTTTTGATTTTTTATTAGGAAAGCACACGTCATGATTTCATAATTTAAGGTAAAAATTTCCTTATTTAGAGTCATGTCATCAATCCACAATCAATTAATTCCAAAAAAAATTAAGTTATAAATGAAATATATTCAATATATATGGGGTAAATCTTTTTGAAACACTCAAAATAGTATATAAGACTAAGGCCCTGTTCTCTTCACCTTAAAAAAATAATATGAAGTAAAAATAATTTCAGTTCAGTAAAAATAAATTCAATTCAGTAAAATTAATTTCAGTTTAGTAAAAATAATTTCAGTTCATTAAAAATAAGTTCAATTCAGTAAAATTTAGTTTTCTTAAAGAAGAATTATAATAGAAAATCAGTAAAAATAATTTCAGTTCAGCAAAAATAATTTCAATTCAGTAAAATTAATTTAAGTTCAGTAAAAATAATTTAAGTTCAGCAAAAATAATTTCAGTTCAGTAAAAATAATTTCAGTTCAGCAAAATTAAGGTGAAAAGAACAGGGCCTAACATTATGAAACGGAGGGAGTACCTGTTATTGGAATTGACTAACATTTTGTTCATGTATTTATACCAAAATAAAGTAATACAATTTATTACTTATATAAATTTATGTCAATTATAAACTATATAATCATTAAAACATTACGGCAGTTCTAAATTACCGGATCATCAATTTAAATATGGATCAAATATTCAAATGTTTGAATAGCTTTGCTCGACCCTAGCTAAAATTATATCAACTCAAACTTAAAATAATAAATAATCCAACTTCCATGAATTAGAAATGACCTAAACCAATCCGATTCAAGTTGATATTACCCAAATGGTCACACAGATAATATCTTAACTTATAGTGATCCGATGCATTCATAACCAATCCAAAGTTAAACCACATATTTGATTTAACAGCTCTTTCATATCGGATGTAAAAAATAAAAGATAAAGACTAAAAGACAGTGTGAAAGGTTTGACATAAACGGATATGGTAATGGCTTGCCCGTAGTACAACATAATTCACGATCCGTAGTGTACGGCCTATTGCAAAGGACCATACGGTGGTTTATTTATTAATTAAGGCAGGAAATTTATCAATACACCGCTCTTAACGCGTAGGACCTTTAATTATGCGGCAGATTGTAATTTTTGTTCTCTACATTATTAATAACTTAATTGAGCAAAACTGACAATATAATAGTTGAATATTATTATTATTATTATTATTATAGGACTGCAAAATGTTAATAAAATTATTTAGTAATGTTTTGATACATTAATCCACATCAACCATATAAATTATGGTTTTTTTAATGAAACTAAAAGCCATTTACAAAATCGTAAGCATGTGCATTATTCTTTAGGTGAAGAGTCAACCACAAGTTATAAATGGTGAGGTGATGCATGTGAGACGATGACCCGTAAAGTACGTGCCCATGTTAATAAGTTCTTTCATATGTCTCCGACACTACTACTACTTCCCCCAATTTAACAAGAAAAAGGATACAAAAATTAAATGATGAGGTACTGGAGAAAATCAATGTAAAAAGACGAGAAAGCATCGATTATATATTTTGTTGGATTCGTAAATATGTCGATTTTCGTATTTGGAAATAAAAAAATTTAAATGTGAATGTCAATTAAATTAATTGGTTAAAGTAATTAAAGCCAGATTACATTTCATCTACACTATTGTCATGTTGTCCTATGTATAGTTGTCTTACATCAAAATTATAAAATTTAAATAAATAAATAAAAAACAATTCAACACTTCAATTTATAGTTTATATATTACCACCTTTATTTGGGTTAATAATCCCATATTATTTAAAATATTAAAATTTAATTTATTTATATTTTTTAAAGTAATTGATAGTTTTGTATTTGGCTTCCAAACTACCTTAACTATGGAGTAAGATAGAGTGAAAGAAAGAGTGATAAACTTCTAAATACAACTTTTATGCTAGCTATACTAGCTTTTTCCATTATTTTTAATACTACTAGTAGTAGTAGTAACACTTGACAAATATTTAAAACATATACTTGTATATAAATATTTTCCATTTGCACACATTTATAGGAAGTTGAATAAAACAACAACATAGTTATGTTTGTTTAATCAAAAGTAAATCCAATAAAACAAAATGGGGCTACTAGTTCATTATCTGTATATACAATTGAAAATTTGACCTAGTTTTAGGATATAATTTTTGGTTCACTCCTTTAAGATGTTAAGAATATAATTATAGTTGATGAACAGTTTAAACATGTGGCGTCAAATTTTATAAACAAAGACTTATCCTACCTATCATGATTTGTTTCTACCCAATCTAATGAATGACACCGAGTAATTTAAAATGGAACCGAAAGAGTCCGAAAACTAGTTAATAGAAATAAATTTGATAAAAGCTAAGTCGTTATATAAATATATAGGGCAAAATAAGAATTGAGTAAAATAATAAATGATGTTGATGGAGAGGAGAGGAGAGTAGAGGATTGAAATGAACTACCCCACTTAGGCACTTACCTATAAGTCAATTAATTAATTTACCAAAAGTCTACAATTATGTGTTGGTCAAAATATATAACACTTGAAAAAACGGAGGGAGTAAGATGCATAATACTTTCGGATAATTGACACACCTTTTTTTTTTATGGTCGTTTTATATTAATTGACTCACCACCGTAAATAAATCATGACAAGGGCCAACAATTATTATACTTCGTATACTGTAAATATGTAATCCCCATGTCCCGTGCACCAACTTTTTTCGCTCACATGTTTTTTTTTTTTTTTTTTTTTTTTGAATAATATAAACTAAAGGCTCTGTTGACTTTTACATAACCCATTATTTTTACGAATTTTTTATTTTAGTTGTTCTTCAAAATTAAGAATCTTTTACTGATTAAATATTATTTTTACTAGCTAAACTAAACTTATTTCTACTTGATTGACTTTAATTTTTTACTAAATTGAAATTATTTTTAAGGGGAAGAGAATTAGATTAGGCCTTGCTAAATCTATTACCATTCCTTTAATTACACTAAACAACTAATTTTATAATTCTCACCTATTTCATATATATTATTTTCTTAGTTTCATGTCAAAGACCGTGTATATGTCAATTATTTCAAAATGAAGGGAGTAAAAAATCTTACACATCAAACCATTCTATACTAGACTTTATTTTTAGACCAAAACAAGTAATGTGAAAGTGTGTTTATCTTGATTATAAAATCCCCTACATGACTACATTTCGTTCACTTGTATAGTTGTATGACTTAGCTTGTATCATTGTATGTTCACATATATGAAAAGCTAGCTTTGATAACACTACTTAATTACTTATTTACTAATTTATGAACTAATGTCTAATCTATGTGTGAAAATAGGATATATATGTGGTCCAACTATAAATGAAACTTATTTTAAACCACTTGTATCAATTAACTTAAAAGTTTTCTCAAGTGAATTATACGGTATCCTAATATATATTGAACAATTATAATAACCTGAATGCAATTCATTTACAATGTATGCATTAGTCAACAAATGAATTAGCATAAGCATATATGTACGGCATACATTATTGTATTTTAATTATATGCATAGATTTGTAAATATTCTCTCCATTATTATAAATAATTGACTCATCATCTACTCATTATTAAGAGGACATTGACATGATCCTTTGCTAATTACGTCCAAAATCATCTCTAATTTTCTAGCTATCTAATCTACCTAAATTTATAAGTAATTTTATTATTATTATTATTATTATTATTATTATTATTATTATTATTATTATTATTATTATTATTATTATTATTTCATATTCTATAAATCCTTGAAATTAAGTGTGGTAGAAATGCAAGTTGTTTGATTTCACGTGGTACCTTGTTGTACGCCATAACTTCTCAATCAAGAAAGCATAACCTTAATTATCAATGTCAACAAATCATAAAAATAATAACTGCCAAACAAAGTAATTTAACTAATATTTAATGAGGCCAAGAATTCTATATAATAGGACCATATCTACCAATTTTTATAACATCTACACTACACTTCTTTTTGAGAGAACTTAAAAATAAAAAAGAATAATAATGGGAAAATGGGAAAGCTCAATTTTGACGAAATTCGTCCTTGTTCTAAGTTTTGCAACAGTCTCTTTCGCAAATTCCAGTAGTGGTTTACGTGCCTTTTATTTGGTCCAACAGGTACGTACATATATACTTTGTTTCGTACACATATTCATGTTTATATATTTTTGTAAATATCTTTGTTTTGTTATTGATCAATGTATATATATAGTTATGAATTCCTTATATACATGTTTGCTTACGAACATTATTTCGTGCAGTGGCTAGGGTCGTACTGTAACCAAAGAGGGACGAAATGTTGTTACCCACCTACAGGGAAGCCAAGTCCAGATTTTACCATATATGGGTTTTGGCCTTACTATAGGGACGGTAGTTTCCCCTACAACTGCGGCGACGACAACTACGACGTTGGTCGGGTATGTTCTTATAGTAACTTTGATAATTTCTTTTAACTACATACCATATTCTTGAATTGGAATGGGTCGTCGCATATTATTTTTTCAAAAAAAAATAATAATTAATAATAATAATTGCGATTCAAAGTGAACATATACAAATCATTGATTATCTAATGTAAGTTGGTCCAATTTAAATCTTTTGGTGGTATAGATCAGATTTTGTCTACATTATTTTCGATTCCTTAAAACATGCTAATAACGTTTATATATTTTGGTATGCAGATTAAGTTCTTGGAGAACAGGTTACGAAAGGAATGGCCATCATTCACATGCCCACAAATAGGAAGGAAGTTTTGGGTGCACGAATGGAACAAGCACGGAACATGCTCGAAATCCTCCCTAGGCGAAATCCCCTACTTCCAAGCCGCTCTAAACCTCAAGAACAGGGCTAACGTCTTCAAGGCCCTCGCCCGAGCCGGGATTAAGCCAAACAACAGATTTTACTCCCTTAAGTCCATAAAAAAGGCGATCACTCGATCAATCGGGTTTCACCCTTGGGTTGTATGTAACCATAATGCTCAAGGGAAAAGCCAGATTTGGCAAGTCACATTGTGTGCTGATAAAACTGGAAGGAAGCTCGTTAATTGCCCTTACATTCCTAGAGGACGTGGTAATTGTGCCTCCAAAATTATGTTCCCTTCTTTCTACTAATTAAGGGTACTAATTAATTAATGCAAGCTTAATTAGCTGTTTTTAAAGCTCAATTGCTTGTGTATTTAAAATGTTGTATCAATTATTAGTGCTACGTATGTATGTGTTTGTAATTTGTTGCACCATTTTATTAAGCAACAAATAAAATATTTTACTTTTTTTTTTTTGGAAAACATGTATCCAAACAAATCGATGCGGAATTGTGTATATTGAATATTCAATCCACTCGATTCATTGTGTGATTTCATATATATTTGAAATATTATGATTTTAATTCAAATTCGATATATATACTCTCTATGTTAGCTATTAAAGGTCTTCTTACTTGTTTGCACTTTTATAGTGGTTATTATTAAGAAATTTTGATATATTTCATATGCATATGCAACATATATAACAAGATCTTACATTAACATTTTTCTCAAACGTCATACAAATTATGGAGTAAATAAAACAAAGTGCATGGGACTTTTCATGTGATGGATCACATGAAATGAAGTAGTTTAAAAGATCTTTAAGGAACAAAAGTAGTGATCCATCTTAGCCGTTTGTGTAAAGAATTTTAATGGTATTTAACAATATATATATATTTATATATATATATATTGCTGACAAAATTGGTCATTAAATTATTTATGATGTTGTTTCATACTTATAGAAACGTCAAATGATGTCTATCTAGCTTGGGTTCATACCCATACCCAAAAATGTGTAGTACTATGTTATACGTACTTTACTTTTATATTCTCTAGATTAATGATCCCCTCCTTTTCCTTTTTTGGTCCTAATAACATGGGTTGTAGTGCTCTTTAGTCTTTAATATTGTATAAAATTATTAAACCACACAATTTTAGAGCCAGTCCAATCTCGGAATTGAAGATCCATTCTATTGGTTTTACAGTACAACCATATATATATATATATATACACTAGTCGTTGGAGCACGCGCTACGCGCGTTCCCCCCCGACGGTAAGATATGTAAGCTTCGTGGATGTGATCGTCTTTCGTAGTTTGAGGTGTTATTAACATGCTGATTAGGGGAGCATAATTTAATGAATTGTAAAAAGAGCTTGTTGTATCATTAATGTTATTATTGTGTGTGATTATCTTGAATATCCGATATCCAATTTTTTCAGATTGAATATCCAAATTTTTTGGATCAGATCCGGATTGGATCAACAAATATTCGAATTTTCAAATAGTTTTGCTTAGCACAAATTTAAGGATTAATCGGTGCAATATATGTAATGTTAATTGTGTGTTTTTATCTCTAAGATTATATAAACGCACATAAGTTTGGTTTATGCTAATTAGTTACATTTGAACGATTATAGCGTTTTTAGCGATCGAGCATCTTCAGTAAATAATAATCCCTAATTCTTGATATATGTTTATTATGATTTAATTAATAAGTTTTTCACAATTATAAGTTTATTTGCTTAATTAATATTTATCTTTAAAGTTGTTTTCTAACTATCATAAATATGTTGTTCTGGTGTTGTTTAAGGAAAGAGCTCTTAGGGCTTTGAACAATAGAGTAAGTTGAATTCTAATATAGTTGGTTGATTAAATATGTATTTTTAAGAGTGTTATTGTGTATATGTAAACATGGAATGCACGATAATTCATTTTCTTACTACTTAATGACTTTTAATTTTACTAATTAATAATAATCTCTCTCTTTCCTTTTGATTTATCTCCTTCCTAACTTTGTCTATATGTTCCCACTTTTTTTTTAATGGCTTTGAAAAATTTTGGTTCACTTGCTCCCATTTCACTCGTTTCATTCTTCCTTTATTGGCCCAAACTCTCTCTCTCCCTCTCTTTCTTTCTTTCCTAATTCTTCTTGTCCTTATTCCATTCTAAAAATGAGCTTTTAAAACTATAGGTTGCACTTTCTCCCTCTCTTTCTCTCTCTCTCTCCCCTGAGCCATCTATCTGTCTATCTCTCCCAGCTTCTCTTGATCTTCCTTTTTCTTCTAGCCTCTTTCTTTCTCTCTTTATCACTCTATATCTCTTTCCTAACCCCCTCTCTCTATTTAATTCACGAATTTTTTTCGACCTTCCGACCTCTTCAATTCTATTTCTCTTGCCCTCGTTCTCTCTCTATCTCACTATATTTTTCCTCTTTCTTTTTCTATTTCTCTCTTCTCGATCTTCCAGATCCTCTTTCCTATCTATTGGCTCCTTTCTCCCAACACTTCTTTAACAATCTCCGACATGTCCTTTACTCTTAGCTCATGGCTTGTCTTTTATTTTTCTGTTTTAGCTTGCCTTCTCTCTCTTTTATAGCACATTTCTCTCTCTTTCATATATAGCACCTTTCTCTCTCAGCCTCCCTTTATTTTTCTTTTCTAGCACCTTCATCTCTTAACCCTATTTATTTCTTTCTTTCTCTCTTTCTCTCTCTCTCCTAGCACCTTCGTCTCCTAACCCTCTATTTCTCTCAGCATTGCCTTCTCTGTCCATTTGTTTGTCTCTTTTTCTCTCTTGACCCTTCTCTCTCTCCCTCTATTTCTCTCTCGACGTATCTTTTCTCGCGCCCCTCTCTTCCTATCCCTCCTCTTTTTTTCTCTCTCTCCCTCTCCTATTTCTTACTCCCTATATTTTTTTCTCTCATCTCTCGTGTCTGTCCTACTCTTCCCCCCTTTCCTACCTCCTATCCTCTATCTTTCTAAAGCTATCTATAACTATGGTTGTACAAATATAAAAAAAACATTTACTCATGAATATAACACGGTTATATCATAATGTTGATAAATTTATTCTAAAGGTGACTCTAATCAGTTTGATGCCTTAATTGTCACAAAAGCACATTGTTTAATTAATAACATTTATTGATTACTGAAAAAAGATTGTCTAAATCTAGTTGTCGAAATCTACTCCTCCTATATTGTTATCTCTTTTTCTCCTTCCCTTTAGCTTTCTCATCTTTAACTCGTCTTTTATTATTTCGACCATTTTAGAAAGTTTCTAAAAATTATTGTCAACTTCTTACTCAATTACACTCTATAAAGTATTATATGTCTTTCGTTCCTTTAATTCTCAAAACTCTCTATCTTCCTATTCTTTAATTTTTGCTCCTTTGCACTGACTTCATAACTTATAGGTATCTCTCTCTCTCTCTCAATAGGTTTTCTTGAGTGTTTCTCCCTTTCACCCTCTTATCTACAGTCCTACATTCTCAATGGTTACTTCTTACCCAATTATACTCTAAAAAGTATTATTTGTCTTTCGTTCCTTTAATTCCCAAAACTCTCTATCTTCCTATTCTTTTTGCTCCTTTGTACAAACTTCATAACTTATAGGTGTATCTCTCTCTCTTTCTCTCTCTCTCAATAGGTTTTCTTAAGTGTTTCTCACCTTCACCCTCTTATCTCCAGTCCTACATTCTCAATGGTTACTTCTTACTCAATTACACTCTAAAAAGTATTATTTGTCTTTCGTTCCTTTAATTCCCAAAATTCCGTATCTTCCTATACTTTTTGCTCCTTTGTAATGACTTCATAACTTATAGGTATCTCTCTCTCTCAATAGGTTTTCTTAAGTGTTTCTCACTTTCACCCTCTTATCTACATTCCTACATTCTCAATGGGTTTTTAGATGTCCTTGACTCTTACCCTAAATTTTGATTGAGAAAAAGAGAGTAACAATTTTACAACTACATGTCTTCTTTAACTTTCTTTACTTTCACTATGGGGGTGTTTGGTAAGTGGGAATTGAGGGTGGGATTGGGAGTTTTAATCCCAATATAAAAAATAAGCCTTGTTTGATTGGTGGGAATCGGAATAAAAAGGGGTTTGTGAATGGGTTATTTACAGGTGAATTCCCACCCTTTTGTTACCTAGTGAGGGTAGACAATAAATGAATGGGAATGGGAATGGGAATAGGAAGAAAAATGAGATTTTTGCCATTAATGAAAAGAATTAAATAACAATCTTAATAAGGGTATTTTGTAAAATTGTTATTTATGTCCTATATATTCCCATCCACTATCCAAACAAGGTATTAGCATATTTTTATGTATTCCCATCAATTAATTCCCAAATCCCATTCCCACCTTTCAATCCCCAAACTCTCATTCCCACAATCCAAACGCCCCGTATATGTTTTCATCAAATCCCCAATCAGTATATGATTGCCCAAGGAAAAGTGAACAATTACCGAAATAACTAGTAAGAACTCTACATCAATAAGAAACTGAGAGCAGTACAATGACTTTTGATCATCTCATTTTTCAACATAATATTCTCGTATTATACACGTTGAGATTCATCCAACATTCCAACAAAACAACGAACGAATAAAGAAATTGAAGTTATATGGTCAGTAAACCTATATTGTACAAGTATACATGATTTCTATGAAAATTGCTTATAGAAACATGCATTTTGGTCAAACCATTTTTCCCTCATAAGAATGGTTTCTAATTTTCTATTAACATTTTTATGCAGTTTGTCTACTTGTAGAAACATGCATTTTAGTCAAACCAAAAGTTGAAAGCACTCCTTGTAGACTTCAATATACAACTTCCGGTCTGAGATGAAGAATCACCATCCTTGACATTGTTATGGCCCTGCAAAGGTGAGTTCGTATAACTGTGAGATTCCATCCCTAATTGAAGACTACATCAAATAACTGCAGTTATAAAGGATATACTTACCAATATAATAAATAATAGACAAGCGCAATAATATAATCCATAAACCTCAACTCCTCAATTAAGACAATTTTTCTTGATTGTGTAGACTGGTAAATGAAAAATATAACCCATGGTCGTTGGTGATAAGATATGATATAAATAAATAAATAAACCACACCACCACCGGTAATTGGAAAAGAAGGTTTTATGTTTATTGAAAATAAAAATATAGAGTATTTTCACAAAATCTACATGGTTCCTAGGTTCAAGGAATTCAAAAACATAAAACAGGATAATAGTGTCATAAATTAAACCATTATAGCTTTTTCTGCTGAAACAACTTGCTTGCAAATCCAAATATCTTGATTATCTCTCTTTCTTTGCTTTTCATTAAGGCAAACCAGTCACCAAAGCCGTTTTCAAATGATGAAATACAAATGCATATGAAACTTATTCACCAAAGCTGTTGTAAAATAACGAAATAAAGATAGACATGAAATCAACAAGAGGATATTCAGAGCCGTCAACAGGTAGAGAAAACGATATAAAATAAGAGAAGAGATCAATCAAAAGCTTAATAGAATATACTTCTCATAAAGTCATCAGCTAAGTAAGAGAACTTTATTTCAAAGTCAATTCT